ATTTAAACTGTATGGAAGCAATGAACTGTTACATTCCAACTGCTTACTGTAAGATCAATATTGAAATTTTCGTTATTATATCAGTTATATTTATTTTCTTATTTTTCCCTTCACAGAATAAAATGCACGGTTAAGTACGAATCTAAGAATTTTTAGTATAATTTCAGATTTATAGATTACAAGAGCCGGGTCAGCGTATACTTGGTCTTGTGGATGACGAATTATTTTCCACCATACAACCTCTTTCCCACAGTCAAAATGTCGCGAGCCTCTCTCCGCACTATCGCTATTTCCATGACGTGTTCTGACGAGCTACATTCCTTAGTCTCACCACGTTTGACATTTGCAACTGGGACCTGCCATGTCACGTACACCTGAGTGAATCATCCAAATTCCATTCGAATTTCAATACTAAGTTTTATTAGAATAGCGTTTTCCCAAGAACTGCTGCTTTGTAGAACAGACTCCCTGTAGGATGTTTCCACAATCACTACAATCTTGACCTCTTCAAATTTAGGGTTAATCTTTTCTGCATGGCCCATGAACTTAACTTCTTGCCCATTCTTACGCACATAAAACACCATACAAAAACCGTCTGCTTTGAGTGGCTCTTGGGTTTTGTATTGTGTGAAGACTACTAAAAAAGAAATATATTTAAAGAAGTCTTTAGATTTATATCTAATTATAAATAGATCTCTTAGAAGTAAGGGAGACCAATCGTAGTTGAAAAACCTTTCACTCAAATACCTGTAACTTCGAATATAGTTAGTTCATGAATAAAGCTAATATTACCAACGTTAATTGTTCAAAATCGACTTCCTTATATTCAGAGCTGAAACATTAGTTAATCTTTTATATTATCAGATCATTTCAAAAGTTCATGCCCGATCTTTATTGGTAATAAAATTTCTAATTGTGCAAGAACTTTTGCAATTATCTAATATCATTTAACCCTCTGTTAGGATAGCTGTCTATGCCGAACTCTCTAAGGGAAAGAGAAAGCGTCATTGAAATGTTTCAAAGACTGCATCAACTCCAACGGCACCCACACTGAAAAAAGCCCACAACGACCTTGAAGAGTGCGCACATAGATAGAGTATCCTGGCAGGCCAAACAGTATAGACATTTAAGGACAATCTATGTGACAGCATCAGTGAGGCCCGCGCAAAGAGGAAGGAAGTAATAAAAGCACTCAAATCTCTTAAACCAGTTTCCCTGTCCAAATTGGGACCGTTTTCTCTTTCCCTGCACACAGGTGGGATGGTTGAATCCGACAGACCAGGACTGTAGTAGTGTTTAACATCGTCAGAATATTAGTACCATGGTATTTTCAAACGCCCCGTTTAAAATATTATGGGCATATTATTTGGCCTTAATTTTCTATTTATGTATTTTTGTTTCATAGATATAATCTCTGTGGTGTTTTAATTTTTCTATTAGATTGGTGTAGTGTGATTCATGTATTGGGATACTGTCTTATTTGAGGTGGATGTGGTGGCCTGGCTAGTGAAGTGAACTGTCCGATGTTGTCAGAGATTACATGCCCTCACAGTTGAGAGTGAATCTTATTGATTCTCTCCTGGATGATCTAAGGAGTTTTTTCAGTTCTTGTGGTGCATGATCCTGTTGTTGTCCTCCACTATATATCTTCTTGGCACTTTTCTGTCTTATACACAGCTTCCACAATTTTGTTTTCTCATTTTGAACATAGATTTGTTGACCTACAGTCAGTGGTGCATGTTGTCACTTATTCTGCCTCTCATATCATTCCTTCATATGATTCTTAGTGTGCTGTAAGCAATCTCAATTATATTTGTCTCCCAACTGCTGTTTGGAAACAAGGAGCATTCTTATTGGTCAACCATTAAGCAGTTCTGCGGGGGATTTGATGTTGGTTGATATGGGTGTCATTCTATATTCTGTCATTGCCAGGTGACAATCGGTGCCTGTTTTTCAAACCAACATCAATATCTTTTGCAAATTTCCACCATTCTCTCAGCAAATCCATTCAGTTGGGAATAATGAGATGATGAAGTTATGCGCTCAAAATTGCATTTCTGGAAGAATTTGGTAAACTTTTTTTACTCGTTTATTGTGGTCTGAATTCCCTGTACCATATCTATCTAGCTCACCTCTTGCTTCAAATAACAACTTCAGTTGATTTATTACAGCTGTGATGGAATGAAGGTGTCTTACAAATGGATATCTGCTTTACTGATCTACTACCAATACATATTCATTGTCTTCCATAGTGAAAAGACCTCTTACCAAGTGCAATATAGAATCACCTATTGCAGCAATGTGTGTCTGCATACTCATTTTTTGACATTTTTGGCATTTCATAATCATGTCTTCAATGTCTTGGTTGATATTTTTTACAGGATAAAAAATGAAAAATATACATTTTGAAAAATTGAATTAAAAGGCCAGTATTAATAAATTAAAAATTCAAATATGCAAAAATAGATTTAATTTTATTTTCTGTATGATCTTTTAAAACAATTTGTGATCAATGTGACTGCTCTTAGCCTTTTGTTTTCACATTCATGCAATGAACAAAAAAAGATTACTGAGATATTTGCATAATTATTAATCTTTACTTGAGTGGCGTGTGCTAATAATTCACACAAATAACAGAAAATCTTATAATAGACAGAGGTCTTCACAATCTATATATATATATAAAATTCTGTGACTTCCGTTAATCTGTCCGTCACACACTCTAAAATACACGAACCGACCGAAACCAAATTTTGGGGAGAATTGGAAACAAGTAAAGGGGTAAAAATACATTATTATTTCTTTTTAATATAAATTTAAGTAAGCTGCCTAAATTAGATGAAATCAGTTGTTTTTGAACGAAAACAACTCGATTTTGACTACCTTTTAGGTGTTTTTGAATTTTGTAAACACCATTTTTTTAACGAGAATCCAGTTTCCAGCTCGAACTGTGCTTGCAAGGAGTGTAAACAAATCTCACAAGGCCAAACGATCCAAAGAGTTGGAATTTGGCTCCAGAAAGAAATATTTTTTTCACGGCTGTTAAAAAAATAAAACAGGAAAAAAAGAAATTTTCTTTAAAAATATTGTTTACTATGAAATCCTATTAAATTAAATTAAATTAAATTAAATAAATTATTAAACCATAAAGTACGGTTTTTGTCAAAATATTTTTCCAAGCAAATCAGATATTCAAATTTCATCGATTGGTTGGGAAATTGAATGATACTTAGAGTTTGTAAATCTCGACAAAAAAAGCGATAACTTCAACAATATTAAATACTATAAAGATTTGAACACGCCTCGGTGTGTTGCAAAAAATTGGTCACGAAAATCGGACGCGGTGGTGTAATGGATTGCAGCTTAGATTGAGGAATCGGAGAGCCTTGTTCGAATTCCCATCGAGTTATGTCTTAATAGCCTTGTGAAAGGTATGAATCCATCATTTCTCCACCAAGCTATGGGCAAATAGCAGGACAGACTCGGTTCTATAGCCTTGGGTGGCAACTGGTCTAGAAGGAAAGGCAGTGGTTTGGGCTTCATCCGGCTATTTTGATCAAGACACGCTACTCCTGTTACGGTTGATGTCCATGTGGTGCCCCTCCGACTCTAATAAGTTACGGAACACGTGATCTTGTTAACTATTATGGAAAAACATTTTCTGTTGCTTTGAAACCCTCCACAATACTAATGGAAGGTTAAATATTCAGATTAAAGTGTATCAAGCTATTAGTGGGTTAATTCAAATTGTTTGTGTGTGTGCATGTATATTTTAAGTCAATGAAAAACCTAAAATATTTCTACAGAATTGAAAAAAATGATTGAAAAAAATAATTCTATTTATTACAGAATAATTTAAATTTTTTAAAAGTTTTTATGAAAATAAGACTTTTTTTTATCCTTTTTTTCCTTTGTTTACAGCTCTTATTTTATTGCTAACTCAAAGCAGGGATTGTCCAGAGTGGTTGTTGGGGTGCATGTAATATGTTATTTCAAACTCAATAAAATTGTGTGTGCATGTGTGTGCGCCTGTTTTCGTGTACATTAAATGGAAAAAAAATAGATGTAAGTTACACGCAATACGGCGAAATTCACATACATTACTTACGCACATGTAAAGTCACGCACAGACAGAGAAACAAATCTTTTTTTAATAATATAAATTACATTACCATTCTCTCGTTACATCTCTCCTCACCACCATTCTCTTTCTCTTTCTCTATCCCTTTCTCCCTTTCTCTATCTCTCTCTCTCTTACTTTTACATTTCTTGCTTCTCTCACACTTTCCTATTCTCGCCTTATTCTTGTACTCTTTCCTTTCGCCTTATTCTATTTTCTCTCTTTTTTTCTTAATTTTGGCAGTTTTTATCTCTTTTACCACTTTTCTCTTCTCTCTATCTCTGATACCTGCCTCTTTTCTCTTTTGTTTTAGCTATGTCAATATTTATCCCTTCTCTCTACGTCTCACACACCCTCACTCTCTCCTTACCCCTCTCTCTCTCCCTCTCTTTCTCTCTACCTCTGTCATTTTACGATCATATATACGGTACTCACTTAAACTGTTATTGATGAATATGTTAGAGTAATACATATATTTGAAGCTTTTTGTCGATCAGAGAAAAATATAAAAATGACTAGATTTATTTTTAACTCAATCTCTTACTTATGCAGAGAAACATACTCTTAAAAATATCAAAAACTGGTTAGAAAATAAAACAATAGACACTATATACGTGGCGGAAAGTTGTAACGAGTAACGTAGCAGACGATAGAGGATAACATCAAAAACATGGGATTTTCCACTTTGAATGAACAATCCATGAATATAGTACATATAAATGCAAAATACTACGTCAACAAAATTATTTTCTTCACCATGTAGGAATATTGATGAGATCCGAGTTATATACGTTTGTTGAAATAAAAACTGTATGATATTTCCATGTCACTTTTGTTTAATGTCTACATTAGGCATGTACAGCACACAAGCATTTTTCCAATGGACAGCACACCCGGAGAAAATGTAATTTTCAGCAATACTCGCAGTTGTTATTTTCGTAGAATTATAATTTCAGTCTCGGCAAATTTAATCTTATTTCATATTCTTTATTTCTTCTCTTCTATTTTTTTTTTTTTTTTTTTTGGTAGTTTACCTACTTCTTTTTCTTTTTTCTTCATTTTCTTTCTTTTCTATTTTCTCTTTTTGAGGTACATTATTTAGTTTTATTTTATCTCTTTCTTCCGGTCTGTCTCTTTCTTGCTTTTTAGGTTTCTTTCTTATTTCAAAGAAAAAAATGATACTTACTCTATTCCATCGAGTTAATCAAAAAGCCCGTTTGCTTTATTAAGTAAACGTTCTGTTTAAAAAGGAAACATACCTTTTTGGGGGTACCGAATATTATTCTTCATCTGTGTCACTATAGAGTCTTCCTTTTCTTTTATTTTCTCAATTTTGGTAGATTGATTTAATATCCTTTCTCTACAAGTCTCTCTAACGTTTACCTTATTCTAGTTTGCCTCTTCTATGCGTTTATTCATCTTTTCTTTCTTTCTCTCTCTCTCTCTCTCTCTCTCTCTCTCTCTCTCTCTCTCTCTCTACCTTTTTTATTTTTACGTTTCTTTTTTTTGTTTTTCTTTCTTGATCTCTCCACTTATTCTATTTTTTTGTGTGTCACTTTCCGTTCTCTCATTTTTTTAAAAATTTCGACAGTTTTAAAATATCGGTTCCCAATTGCTGCCTCTCGCTTTCTCTCTTTCTCTCTCTCTCTCTTTCTCTCTCTCTCTCTTTCTCTCTCTCTCCTCTCTCTCTCTCCTCCCTCTCTCTCTCTCTCTTGCTTTCTTTCTTCTTTCTTCTCTCATTATTGGTATCTTTCTGAATTGTAATATATTCCATTTTCTTCTTCCCTTTTCTCTTTTGTTTCTTCTATCTCGCTATTCATCATTTCTTTCTAAGTCTCCCCCTCCTTCTCTCACTTCTTCTCTCTCTTTCACTCTCTCTCTCTCTCCCTCCCTCCCCCTGCCTTCTTATTTTTTACGTTTCTTTCTTCTCTAATTCTTTTCCCGCTCTCTCAGTTTCACCAATTTAAACACTTTTTTCCTCTGTTTCACTTTACACCCTTATTTTTCTTTGGGTTTCTTTCTACATTTTAATTTTTCTCTTATTCTCTTTTCCTCCTCCGTCTATCTCTTACTCTAACCTCTTTTGCTGCCACTATGTTTTTATTCTTCTTCTCTTTCTACCTCTGACTTTCTTATTTTTTTACGTTTCTTTCGCCTCAATTCTTTTCCTGCAATCGTTTTGACACTCGCTCTCCTTTTACCCCCCAACACTATCCCAGATTTTATTATGCAAGTCAATGGTCTCCCAATGAAATCGGTATTAGCCAACAGATGTGGGCAAAACATTCTCATATGAGTAATATATTTTGTGGATTTCAGCTTATCATACTTATCATCTTTAAAAGATGGCAGTGCGGTTAGCGTAAAGTTCATCTTCGCTAAAAGTGGAATCGTCCTGCAGAGCTTAAAGTCACTACGGACAAAAATAAAAAGGCACCTTTAAAAAGCTATTAATCGATCTTCTTCCAGCTATAGGTTAAATAGCAAATCAGACTGAACAATGATGGCCATCAGTCTAGAAGAAGGAAATAATATAGTATCTTAACCTTGGTAAACTTCATTGGTCTTAGAAGAATAACTGTGAATTCAAAACCAGCCTGTCTACGTTAGCTTATATTGTCCGAAACATAACCACTATTGCTACGGCTGTACTAGCGACTCTGATGGGCTAGGAGAGTTGTTGTGATCATGAAAAATATTCATAAAATTATGATTGGTGGTTATAAGATTTTATTATGCTAACAAATTAAGGACAAAATAATTATTAATTTATAAATATACCGTTAAGATATGTCAGAACATATTTGATTTATATTTTATACTCACCGGTCTTTTGAACAGAAATAATTGTTTATCTCTTGTTTCTTGTTTCTGGATCCTTCTAAAGTCTAGTTTAATTCTATACTTCTAAACTCTGGTATTTTATTTACTATTTATTTATTTCTCTTCAGTAGGAATAGATATGTTCCCCATCGTTCTCTTCACACATCTCTCCGGATTTTGAACAGTAGTAGAGGTTTGTTTCCTGTTTAGGACAGGGTTTCTGTTTTCTTCTAAAATCTACTTCAATTCTAAAGTCTTTTCATTCTCAGTAGCCCCTTGCGTGTCAGTGGCATTATCGCTTTGGTTTGTTTGAAATGATTTTTAAAAAACCCTGAACAATTGTTTATTCTATTAGTTGAATCCTTTGAAATCCTATAATCTTCATCAATCTTTCTAACATTGATTTTTTATCGTTTCTACACTTTCCGCTGGCCTTTCATATTGTTTATATATATAATCATTATATATCTGAAACTATATACATATATATATATATATATCATATGCATATATGTATCATATGCATATATATATGTATCATACGAATATATATCATATGCATATATATGTATCATATGCATATGTATCATATGCATATATATATATCATATGCATATATACATATGTATCGTATCTATATATATATATATATATGTATCATATGCATATATATGTATTATATATATATATATATATATATATATATATATATATATATATATATACACACACACACACATTACGATGAACTATTCATACAAAAATTAGATTAGTAAAGTTAATGAAATAAAATGGTGAAATCCTTTCACTAACAAAATTGTAAAGGTGCATTGACCTACAAATCACTCGATGAATGTTATCATCCTTGTTTCTAAAAGTTATAAGCTGTATAAGTTCTTTCTTTAATACGCAAGTACTTTCAACTGCACATTCACTCATCTTCAGGCTTGGAAATTATATATCATTTTATATAATTAACTTTACTAATCTACTTTTTGTATGACTGATTCATTGTAATATAAATTGAACTGCACCACATAGTATATATATATATATGTGTCTGTGTGCTCGCATGCGTGTGCGTGTGTGCGTCATTCACAGACAGTACTGTTTCGCTGTATCACAGTTCCTCAGTGCGACTAGACATCCGAATGCCTCAAGCCCAACCTGACTGATTTGGTGTCAGAATTTCTACCACTGAGCTATCATCACTCAGCAGAGAGAGACAGCTAATTCTAGCGTATTGTTTTTACGAAGGTAAACAAACGCCAATCAGTCAGAGGGCTCCAATTCATTTTACTGAAGAGATTTGCATTAGCGCAGCTGGCTGTTGGTTATAGAATCAGCTTATCTCTCAACAGTGCTCAATTGAAATATATTTTTCAAGAGATTATATATATATATATATATATATATATATATATATATATATATATATATAATTATTTCTCCCACCATCAAACATAATCAAACAAAAACTGACATAAATAGCGCTAAATTTAAAAAAATAAATCGGTTCGTCTGATGATCGCAAAAGCGTGAAACCCAAGGTTACAAACTCATATCCATACAACTAAATATATATATATATATATATATATATATATATATATATATATATATATATATATGGTCATCCATAGACAGAATGTTTCGCTGTATCACAGCTCAACAATGTGGCTAGACATCCGATTGCTTCAAGCCGAGATCGAAAGACCACGGATTTGGCTTCCGTCAGAGATTCTACTCCCAAGCTATCGTCGCACGGCAGAACGGAAGGGAAATTTTAATGTTTTTACTATGCGAAAGACGTCAATAGCTAGGATAGCTCGATTCGAGTAGAAGAGCCTTGCATTAGCAGCAGCAGCCACTGTTTATAAAATATCAGCAAATATGGTCTTAAAAAGAGGGTTGCCTAAGACGATATACGGTAAGTATTATACCATTGTTCCTATGTTTGTAAAATCAATAGAGTACGTTTTTTTGCACACTGTAAATTTTATTGTTGCTGGGCATGGCATATACAGGGGCTGTAGCAGCAGTGGGAGAGTATAGAGGAAGCTAAACTGACAGAGCTAATCCCTATTCGTGCTGGTTTAGAGTTCCGAGTTTTCCTTCTCCCAGATTAGTTGCTAACGAAGGCTAGAGTGCCAGGTTATTTAACCCATGGTTGAGGGGAGAAGAGATTAATTCATAACTTTCGCAATGATATTTGTACATGAGTGAGCTTAATGAGCAGAGCGACCGGAAATTGAACGCGATTTGTTGAATCTCACTTTTCGCGCTTATAACTGGCACGTGACGCGCGCGTCCACACAGCCAAATAAAGTAATGTAAGAAAACCAGATAATATAAAGTGAAATTCGAACGGTATATTTACTATGGAAATATATTCTGAATATCTTAACAATATATTTTGGTCAATACTAATTTAATAGTCTTTTTCTTCACTTGTCTCGTCTTTTATTATCTTTGATTTTCACCTACTCCTTCTGTTTTCTCACCATATCTCGAGATTTATTGCTCGAAAATACAGCAATTGTGGCTTTCTCACTATAATTCTATTAATTTTCTATCGCACTTATATATATATTTCTATCGCACTTATATTTATATATATATATATATTTTGAACAATAAGAAAATTAAAAATTAAAAAATTCAAAAATTAAAATCATTAGACACACTGGGTTGTAGATTAATATTCTTTCGTTTTATTATTATTATTATTATTCCATTTAGATTCCTCGACTAGTTTCGACCGAAATGGCCATCATCGGGAGGCGAAATATTTCTGCTTGCTGCTGGCAAGGAACTACAGAAATATATATATATCTTATATTTTCTCTCTATGTTTCTATTTATCTTCACTCATCTCTCTCTCTATTCTCTCTATATCTCTATCACTCTTTCTTTCTCTCTTTCTCTTATTCACCTATTTGTCTTTATTCATCTTCACACTTTCTGTCTCTCCCCACTAATCTCCTATTATCTTTCTATGCCTTTATCCACTTCTCTTTTTTACTCTCACTCTTTCTTTTACTCTCCTAATTCCTCTCTTTATCTTTATTCACTTTCACGCTCTCTCTCTCTCTCCCTCTCCTAATCTGTTATTGCTCTATGGCTTTATCCATCTCTCTTCTCTATCTCTCTCTCTCTCTCTCTCTTTCTCTTTGTTTCCTATATTCTTCTATTTCTTTATTCATCTTCGCTGTCTCTCTCATCCCAAATCTCTTATTATCTGTCTATGCTTGTATCCATGTCTCTTTTTCTCTCTCTATTTCTCTTAGTCTCCTATTCTCCCTCTTTGTCTATTCATCTGTACTCTTTCTCTCTCTACCTAATCTCCTACTGGCTCTCTATGCTTTTATCAATCTCTCTCTCTCCCTCTCTCACTCTCTCTCTCTTTTAGACTCCTATTTTGCCTCTTTATCTTTTTTCATCTTCACCTTTCTCTTTCTCCTAATCTCATATTATCTCTCTATGGCTTTATCCATCTCTCTTTACCTCTCTGCCTCTCCCTCTCTTTTTACTTCTTTTCATCTCCTTTTTTCTTCTTTTTCTTTATTCACCTCAGTCACTATCTTTCCTACCCCTAATCTCTTATTACTTTTCAATTCTTTTATCCATCTCGCGTTTATATATATATATATATATATATATATATATTTCGTTTTCATTCATCTTCACTCTTTCTCTCTCGCGCCTAATCTCCTATTATCGCTCTATACCTTTATGCATCTCCCTTTTTCTCTCAATTTCTCTTAGTCTCCAATTTTCTGTTTATGTCTCTCTTCATCATCTCTGTTCTCTCTCTTTTTCTCCCCCTTTCTCTCTTTGTCCTCACTTTTCTTCTCTCTCCCTCTCTCTCTCTCTACATATATATATATATATATATGTGTGTGTGTGTGTGTGTGTGTGTGTGTGTGTGTGTGTGTGTGTGTGTGTCAGTCTGTCTACCTATCTCCTCCTCTGTCTAAGCCTATCTTGAAATTTAAAAAAAAAATTCTATTCAAACAAATAGTTTGCTTTATTATTCTTGTCCGTTCTTGACACTTTCCAACGATTTGTCCGGTAAAAACCATTGCTTATTGGTGAGTCCAACGCCTAAAGCAAGTAAAGAATATAATTGGGTATAAAACTACTTGCCCAGACCCCACTACGCTTATCCGGTAGAAGCTAAGGACAATTCAATATTGATCATCTTTGGCCAGATGTTTCGACCTCGAGGCGCAATAGGTGATATTCAATCACTTTTTAAAATAGAGCCCCATTCAGAAAAGCTCTTTTCTTTCTTTCCACTTTTAACAGCTGTCTGTGTCTTAGATTTGATTGCGTCGATATTTATCGCCATCAATGATGTGTTTGATAAAAATCTAGAATAGCTCGGCATTACAGATTTGAAATATACTAACTTCTATGTAAGAAAAAAGACTTGTTGCACAAAACACCTAAGCCTATCTTGAATATCAATCTTCTAAAATCCCACTGCAATTTGAGTGCCAACAGAGGTCAGATTAAAGAATGTAAGAATGCATAATGTAACAGAATATAAGAATAGAGAATGTAACAGAATATAAATTGGAACTGCCCGAAATATGGTCAAAGTACAGATTATACAAAGCTATTTTATACTTCTGCATGACATGTCTCGTTAGGATGTTTGAGCTCACGGCTCGCCACAATTTCCGGTCTTTTGTAGCTCTTAGTAAATTTTGTCTTTATGATATCTCGGTTAACGAACAACTTACACATGTACGTTATACGTCCTTTTCCTCTGTTCCTCTTGCCTTCAGTATGTCCTGTGAGGGTCAAATTTTCCCTGTCCTCTTTCCTCACTACCTGCTCCACAAACTTCAAATATCTCTTTCTGATGTTAAGTATAAGTGTCCGTTTTGTTTCCATTTTCAATACTGCTTCGTTGTTGCTCATATGTTCAGTTCACTGTATTCTCAACATCCTTCTGTAGAACCACGGTTTTGTTGCTTCATCATCTGCCCAGAATTCACTACCATATAAGAGCTTGTTTTATACAGGCTTGGCTAGGCCTTTTTATACCCGTGTTACAGGCTTGGCTAGGCCTTTTTATACCCTCTGTACTAAATCGTCTAGACTAGAATATACACCCCAAGGCCACAATATATCCACTCTTTTTTCAATATAATACGATGTATAGATAGTAATGGGGATATTTTGGAACATGCAATGTTACAAGTCTTGTAGGCATTCTATAGTCCTCAATCTTATTCTGCTTCCTTCTACACTGTTAGGTCTAACTTCTGGATGCCTATTGATTTTAATCAAAATGCTTGAAGTGTGATCATTTTCGTCATTGCCCACTATTGTTTTGTGTTTTCAGTCTGCTGGCTACAATTTAATTTATTAAGAACAAGTTCGTATAATCCAGAGGACTCTGTTTATTTTTACCCAACAGCAGTATTAAATAAAAATATTAGTTCTTTTCTTCGAAACATTAATAACTGCTTAATGTTGAATGAGTTCATATCAGCCGTTATTAGCAGTTTGTAGACAGTTTTTGATAATTAAAAAATGGCTTCCGTTTCTCCAGATCAATCTAAAGTTTGTTACTACTTAATTTGTCTCTCAAGCTTTAGATAACAACAGAGAAGCTCGAGCTGTGGCTCTAGATATCTCAAAGACGTTCCAAAGGGTTTGGCATGCTGTCTACACTGGTGTCTTTAGACGAATATTTGGCTCAATACTATCATTCCTAACAAATTGCATAATGACGGTAGTGTTGAATGAACATGCTTCTAGATCATTTCATATTAATGCTGAGTCCTACAAAGCTCTATCCTTGCAGCTGCGTTGTTTCTTATCTTTATCAAAATCGTTTCCGATATCATCAGTCCCCAACTAAATATTTATGAAAATGATACTACTCTCTTAGTAGCAAGTACGACAGGTCTGACAAAGTAAAACTGGCAACTACTCTCGGAAATGGCCTCCAATCAGTGGCTTGTAAATGTTAACACCTCCGAAATAAAACTTTTCTGGTAGTAACCTCCAGAAGATTCTTCTTGGTCTCACTAACATGAAGTGGAGTGATTATACCAAATTATTTGCTGGGACTTCTGCTAGAAATTGGTTCACTGTTTCATGTCAGATTATTTTTAATAATCCATCTCATACATTTACAAATATACCAATCGTCCGTGCATTGAATACTTCTGCTGCATATTCTGGTGATCCTACTATATATATCTAGATTCTAAAATACAAAGGGAATTTTGTAATGTAATCGATCCTGACCTGGTATCTCGACTTCAGTCACTTTCTTGCCGATGTAGCCTGGCTTCCCTCTGTCTTTTTCCACGAGTATTTTAATGATAATTGTTCTGATTAGCTTCCATCCTTGGTGTCTCGACAGCATGAATTTAAGCGTTCTACTAGATTGGAAACGAGGCCTCACATTTTTACGTTGAACTAGCTAATTACAACGCATGTTCTTTGTTTCTTTTCTTCCACTTTTCGCCTGTGAAACTCCCTTCTGATTCCTCGCTTCCCTCCCACCTACAATCTTTAAAAACGTAAATGCAACACCAATCGCCATCTTCTGTTTTCATTAATACTCTTCTTTTATCGCTTTTTCTCCTCAATTATCACTAAAGACTTTTCATTCTCTTTCACTAGAACAGCGTCTTCCCGCATACCACTGCTCCGTGGAACCAACTCCCAAGAGATTGTTTCCCCGGTCACAGCAAATTTAACCTGTTCAAGTCTAGGGCTAACAATAAAGATTGTAGGTGAGAGGGAAGCGAGGAATCGGAAGGGAGTTTCACAGGCGAAAAGTGGAAGAAAATAAACTATTAGAATAGAACATGAGTTGTAATTAGCTATCTTCCTCTCCTCTCTGGGTGAGTGGATTCAAATAAGCGGGACGGGGCGCTTATTCCTTTTTTTTTTTTTAAGAAAAATCAACCCAAGACATGTTTATTCCAACCGCGCCCTTAGTTAAATATTCAAATTAAACTCTTTCTTCTGGAATGTGCGCACCCAAAATTAAGGAGTGGGAGAAAGTTTAATGTCTAAACTGTTTTTATTTTCTCTAATAAAAATAACCTTACCGGCCCGTTTATTTGAAATTGTTATTATGATTGTTATTTTTTTAGATAATTATTTTCTGGGGAATTTTTGAAAAGAAATCAAGTAAGTATGTATGCATAAGAAATAAAGTAATTATAGACGACCTATAAATCTGGACCAGTTTCAAAACAAGAAGATTTATAATTGAAGCATATGAATATTGAATTGATACATTTTGTCAGATAGAAAGGAATATTCAAGTTATCTTTCCCGGATGGATGTTTTCCAATTTCAAGGTTACGGTTACCTCCTAAGATTAGCATTTTTTTATATTATCTCATTTTTTGGCCCTCTTTATTTATTTTCATTGCTTTCTTCTCTGTTGACATATTGTTAACATAAAAATGAAATGCTTTAGCCCCAAGAACTTTTCGAGGTTATCAACACCGTATCTAAAACGATCTAATAAATATATGCAGGCACAAAGGCAAATTCCTAGTTTGCAACATAACACTACATCAGAAATAAAAATCCTATAACTTATGACATAAATCTTTTAAATTTTACTTTCAAATCATAAATTGTGAATCGTAGAAAATATACAAAATTAATAAATATATGAAATATATGAATAAATAAAATAATAAAATTTATATAATAAATAAATAAAATAAGCATAAATGCAAGTAAATTATTTAGCCACAAAAAAATGAACTTTCCATCCTTAATTTCCATTTCCAAAATTTACTCTCTGGCAAATTAAAACTGGCAACTGCTCTCCAAAAGAGCCTCCAATCAGTGGCTAACTGGTGCAAGAAATGGCTTGTAAATATTAACATCTCCGAAACAAAAACTTCACTCATTTAATCACCACAGATAACACTTTCCGATAGTAACCTCTAGGGGAGCCTTCTTGGGCTCCTCTGTTCCACTGACATGAAGTGAAGTGATGATACTGAATCACTAGTTACGTCTACTGCTAGGAAAGTTGAAGAAAGCAGAAGTAACATAATGTTTGAATGTAGCTAGAGTCGGGAAAATGAGTGTCAACACGTAATATTTATTCATTATGTTCGCACTGTATCTATATATAAAGTTTTTTAATCATTTCATCCCAGACAAGGCGGAAATGCCATTAAAACGCAGAGGATTAAATGGAATGAAAGTGAAAGGGAAGATTGACAATATGGAGGATTGAGGAATGGATAAAGGATAAATAGAATTCAAGAAGACAGAAGAAGGCGATTGACGTTATATTTACATTTTTGAAGATTGTAATTAACAAGGAAGCAAGCAGACGAAAGTGAATTCCACAAGTGGGAAATGCGAGAAAAGAAACTGTTGGAGTAGAAGATGCGGTTGCATTTAGCTATTTAAACGGTAAATGATTGGGACCTACATGCCAATCTAGTAGCACGCTTTAATTCATCTATTCGGTCACCAGGGAAAAAAGTTCGTCAGAGCAGTTGCTATGAGAATATTTGTAGACAAAACAGAGGGAAACCACATCATGTCGATAAGAAAGTGAGTGAAGTCTAGATGACTGGCCAGGATTGATTACATTACAGATCATTCTTTGGATTTTGTCAAGAATGTCAAGATGTAGAGCAGGAGCACCAAACAGATATGACAACAGTATTCAATGCACGGACGAATGATAGATTTGTAAATATGCAAGACGATCTACGTTTGATACTAAACCCACTTACCCCATAAATAAAGCAATGTTTAAGTTATATATATATATATATATATATATATATATATATATATATATATATATATTATTTATAAAAAAAATTATAACATAAGTATGTTATTTTTGTTAGAAAGAAATCCTTCGTGCATCTGTGAGGTCCCTCTATATATTTGATTGGGAGAATATTCTTAGAATTTATTCCTAAGATTAAAACCAGCAATATATATATATATATATATATATATATATATATATATATATATATATATATATATATACATATGTGTGTGTGTTTGTGTGTGTGTTTACATATATATATATATATATATGTATGTATGTATGTATATATATATATATATATATATATATATATATATATATATATAGATAGATAGATAGATAGATAGATAGATAGATAGATAGACAAAAAGATATATTATTAAATATAACAGACAATGAATGTCTACTATGTCTGATCATGAGCCGTTCTGAAGTTCGTATGTTTGCTGTAGTTTCTAAAATTAAAATTAAAGCAAATATATATGTGTGTCTGTGTATATATATATATATATATATATATATATATATATATATATATATATATATATATATATGTAAACACACACATATACACACACA